AATAGTATAATTTCTTTATTAACGTTGCGTAATTAAATTCGCAACAAATTACATGACTACTTTTGATGTCAGACAGATATCAAAAAACACTTTTAATATATTATTGAAAGTGTTTGGAAGCGAGAAAAGACTGTTTATTGCCGCCGAGGCCTGACAAAGTCGAAAGTTCAAAGGCTTTGAAATATACAAGATATTTGTCTATTGGGAATTATTAAACATTTTGAGAGGATTGTGCCTTACTTTAATATTATAGCGTTTTCGAATATTGATATACTTTTTAACATAAAATGTAGTAAATGTAAATGTTCAACGCAAATGATATGTATGTGACAGGAGTATCCCCTTGAGTGTTCTATGGCCACGGATTAAATGTTGAAAATGTTTTCTTATCGAAGTGTCAAAAATGACTAAGTCAATGTCAATGTCGGATAAGAAAACACAAGTAACAACTGTACCCTTGTAAATGCCAATGCTATTTTATTTCTACTTTGTGAAAAAGTTTCTCGGACTGTAGTCCATTATCCAAGTTCCATAAAGAAGTTCAAAGCTACCGAAGTACTAATGAATAAAAGCGATGAAAACACAAGATGATTCATTGAATGAAAAAAAAATAATATAAAATATAATACTCAAGTTAACGCCGCTTCCGAACAACACTAGAGCATTGACGGGCTTATTTCCCTAATGCGATTGCGATGTTATTGTGCTGTCTAGATTAAAAAACTAGATTGAATAGAATATTAAAAATCAAAGTACAAAGATGTAATAGGTTTTCAATATTCTCAACAAGTGTTAAACGTGATATCTATTTATAATTTAATAGCCATTTGCAGTAACTCCGCTGTTTTGAAATTGAACTTTATTTTGCAGAAAATGAAATGGAAAATTTAAAGCCTTTCCCGAGCAAGTCGTAACTGCGGATTTTCTAGGAACATTTCAGCTCGTCAGCATTCCCGTTCGAGAATATTGACTTTGAAGACTGCATTTTAATTTTGTTATCTCTTTGTAATTGAATCAGTTATAGATTTTATTTTAGTAAACAACTTTTTATTAGCGTTTTATGGTCTGCGACCCAAGAAATGTCTTTTTAAATATTATAACTATTTAAAGTTGATTTCTCACTACTTGTTTGGAATTACACAATATTTTACTAAATAAAATAACTACCACATCACAACAATATGCGACTATGAACGATTTTCATAAGCCCTACAGCGGTAACAAACTTGCAACCGACGATAGTCCTGCGGCAATTCTCGCGGTTGCACATGCATAACATTGATGCCGGTACGTCGTCGACCGATCATGAATACGGCCCGTTTGTACCTTGCCGACAAATTTTAAAAACTAATCGTTTCAAACAGATTCATTCATAAATCGATACGATTCTACTTCATCAGCTCACCAAGCTATAGTCAACACGCTAGTCCAATGTGGGTTGGTTAAGTTTACTCATACCTTTGAGTTCTCAGATATGTTCAGGTTGATGATGCACACATTTTAAAACGTCACGGAAATCTACTTAAAGAATTCTCAAAATCTAAAAATTAATCTCACATGGCGAGATTCGAACCCAGGACCTGATTACAAATTAAGTGCTTAACCGTGAGACATCGATGCTCAATGAAAAAATAATTATATGAATACAATTAGAGCGGCTTTGACTAAACTATCGCACAACCGTTGTGTGATTGTCAATTGTTTGCCAAGTCAGCACGCTTTTAGGCAATTTGTAAAGGTGACATTTCCTTGTCAATCAGTTGGACCGTTAACTTAATATATCGCCGAAAAAGAGTTAAATGTAACACGTCGTTTTGTGAAATTATTTTCTGAGTGTACAACTTGCCTAGACAAATTACAAAGTGGCAGCATTCATAATTTGCCGATAACATGCGCGCCGCGGTTGTTCGCGTGCTGTAATCCGCTTGTGAACCGCGACAAGCGTCTCTCGGCGTCCGCAATCATATCGGCTTCCCACCCACATAATATGATCGATTTACATTTAATTCTTTATTAACAAAATATTTTAATAATTATTTTTTAGTCAGTCGGTAATTTAATCATATAGATTTCACCGTAAACATATCGCATTGTTGAGTTATAACGCGGATAGATATTTTGTAAGAAGGTAAATAAACTTCATACATCTTTAAAAATACGCCTCATATTTTTTTTTTGTGTTTGACAACTTTTGTTATGTTACTTTTTTAAAGTACAATATCGACCTATAGCGCCACGACAAATCACAATTCCATCTCGCTGTAGAGTTAGTGAATTGGCTTTTTTCAATTGAAGTTACGAACTTTCGATGCTATTCCGTGACTTTCCCTGAAAAAGACAGCAAAAACAATGCAAACTCGTTACAAATGAATCGGGACCTTAGTATAATAAAAGTGTATTGCATTGTTTGATGGCAGTACAATAAATCATTATAGAGAGGAAGTTACTGCTTAAGGAGATTGTCTTACTCTCGTTGCTTAACATAATTATTATTCATTAGACTAATTTATAGTGATTAACATTTTACTTGATTTATTAGACTTGAGCGTTAGTGTCTAGTTCGCGTATAAAGTTCATGAACTAAATTATTAAACAGCGTTGAAAAATAAATTGCCAGTCCAATTTCAATATTATTCGTGTATTTGCACACGTCAAATAAAACCTTTCGAGCACTGTAAAATCCGCACACTAGATGCGAGCTTTCATCTGTAACCTTGAAAATGTTGAAGTTTACATTTCGCTAGCGTAACCGTGACCATGAATATTTCTCAAAGCGCTGAAATATTTCAATTCTAGGAAATTAACAGCGAGGGAACTTGAATTACGTGAATGTTTGTTTTGCTTCCACTGAAAACCGTGAGCGCAATATTTAGTTTCAATAAGAGCGGAGCATTCAAAGCTCTATTTTATGTAATAAATGCAGAATCCTCGTCATGGTCAAAGCCAATGTCGCTTTCACGGAATATGAAAACAAATATGTGTTTCAATTTGCCGTTTCAGTTATTTGCTTCAGATAAATTAATATATTTTAAACAGTATTTTACGAGAATTTAATTTTGACATTAACATGTTCATACTGCATTCCTGAATTCGGATGACCAGAATGACAAATGTTAAACTTTATTAAATATTAAAGATTTATAAATAAATACGCCATCAAACCTGTTAACAAAAAGATTAGGCAGATGTTGATGTCTTATCAAATTTACTTGATAATAAGTATTTTTGTCTTTATTCCAAATATTTTGTATTTTTTATTTTTAGTTTTAATTGTAAAGCAATAATCGATAGCATCGACTGAAACAAAAAAATACTTATAAAGTAGACAAATAAAGCGATGTCAATACAACATAATTTATTTCTATAAAACTGTAGATGAATCAAGTGTCTTGGACGTTGATGTCGCTAGCTAAACACGGCGCGTGTGAATGCCCTGTCAGTGTATTTTTAGTTAAAATGTTTATAGGTTTTATATCATTATTGTGTGGAAATTCTAAAAAAGTTTTTTTTTTAACTTTAATATGCATTCGTTATTTCAATGGAAGTTAATGCAAAACAAGAATTTATATTTATTTAGATAAAAAATCCACGTAAGAGATTTAATAATGTTAAGGCGATTTAAATAATTGGCAGTATGAACTAAATGTTATTAATTTTATTTCGCTATTTATTTTGGATTCTAGTTGAATTTCGTATGATTCTATAAGGTTTAAGATGTTTTAGAAATAGAGTTGGCAGTAAAGTGGTCCATAAAATTGATGTTTTTAAAGTAACTGGGAAGATTGTGATGGTGCGATAATGGATTTAATTATTAAATGGGAGTGACATTGTAGTTGCTTTAGAATGATGTGAGAGCTAACAGAGACAGACCGCCTGACGAGGTCTCTTTAGATATATTTTTATATGAAACACGCAGAGTAATAACGAAATGGATTCCACCATGTTTCCCGCCCATATCATTACGGTTAAAACGTAAATTATTATACCAAGTGTTATGTGGAACATTTGTCGAATACTTTATTTCATTTTTATAAAGCATAATCTTCTAATTACTCATAACATGTATAAATGTTAAATATTTGAACATATACACGTTTGTATAATGAAATGTATGCTGTGAGAGTTATTCGATAATAGAAATGCCTAAAATATTGTAGCAAAGAGCAGCTTTGGCAACGTGCTGGCTTATATAATTTTTCTCTCTTTAATTTTTTCCATTCTCCGTCGCCCGTGATATAATTGTTCGATTTGTATTTCGATTAAAAATAAAACGTTAATAAAATTTTCTTTTTACAAACACTTAGATAAATAAAATGTATTTTTTTATAATCCGTTTAGGAGATCGCCCATTTTCTTTTGCTGCGGGGGTTTTCATATTTAAAATAAAATTTTAAGAAGAAATTATCGCATTTTATAACTTTTCAGTAATTTTACTACGCGATGTTTTAGACTTCAACGAATAATTTCGATTTCCCGGATAATTTTTTAATTCGAATATTAATATTTGGGTTTATTTGTTTTATTTGCGATAATTTCTTCCGTATTGATTTTTTAAATAAAAATAATATTTTATTTTGATCTTATTTTATACACAACATAATACACAAATTATCTGCAAAAAGTGTAAGAAAATGTGTGTTTGGTAATATAATTGAAGGCCCGTTCTATTTTATTTATTTTTGCCACTTCGAAATTTTTGTTTATTTGGCAAATAATTTAAATTTATATTTTTCTATCACAAACTTGGTCCCAAAATTTGCAGATTTTTTATTTAATTTTTTTAGTACAGGATTTTTTTTTTTCGATCCAAATAATTTTAAAATGTCATCCAGATATTTAAAAAATATTTTTAATATTGAAAAAAATTTTCACCAATTTTTTTATAGTGTTTTCAATAGTTTTAAAAATCTTCAAGAGTTTTTAAATTTAACGGCTTCTTCAAGTTTAATGTGGTTTTGGCGGGCAAAGTGTATTTTGTGGTGTAAATGTCTCATACTCACGCAGCGTGGTCGGCATGAGGCAACCAAGCTATGGCGAGAGCTAGGACGAGGGGGATCGTGTGCACGCCGCGAGATCGAGCCGCGTGCATGTTTCGCGCCCGCTAGCGGGCGGGCGGACGGAGGCTGCCGGCAGCCGCGTCACATTCAACGGACTAACCTGCACCCCGGCTTCGGCGCTACCGAGGCTCGCGCTTGCGCCCGACTACCTATCGACCGCAATCCGGTTGCCGCTTTCTGTTACCACCATGATGCTCAGATCCTCACTGGTCTTATCGAGCGACAAACACACTAGACACTCCATCTTGACACTGCGACACCACGGCTTCACGTGCCTCATGCGTTGCAAAAGCGCCCCTTCCATTTCCCATCGGAACCAACAGTTTTACAATCAACTGAAAAATATCGATCGAGAATATCGATTGAAATACTCCAACGACTTTTACAAACTGAACGTTGCGTGGCGACTTCCGTTACTTTATTCAGTTCAGAGTTCAGATCCGATTTATATTTACAATCATTTTTAAATATGCCTTTTAAAAGCTTATCACGGGCCGGTGGCATTAATAAGCCGCCAATGCTGACGCGTGAAATAAATTTAATACACAAATACTTCTGAAAAGCGCTGAAATGGTCAAATAAATGTAGTAATATTTTTGCGAGAAGATTTTCCTCTTTTACTAAAAAGTAGTCGATATAGTTTCAGAGAAAATAAATTTAATACATTGTTAAACTTTTTCATCAAAGTTGACGGTTGCAATGTGAACTTTTATTTGTAAATATTTGTCATATTTCTGAACTATTGCTAAAGTTTATTAGTTAATTTATATGAAAGTATAATTTACTATAATTATATTTAAATATACTGGTGTTTTGACCTTTTTTTTTGACAACTAAAACTTTCCCTGGTTTTGAATCGGTACTCTTTAGGGGTTTATAAGTTTACAATTATTATTTAAAAAGCAAGCATTTTGTAGGGTTTCTCGCTTGCAATCTTAGATTTGAGCGGCATTTAACTTCACGTGGAGTTCGGTCGTCGCTTTTTTGATATTGCGGCTACAAAGTGGCAAGGCTAAAGACTTCGCTATCTTAAAAACGATTATTTTAGCAATAGCTGATGCAATAAGAATGAATTTAACCTTTATTTTTGCTAAAGCACTAAGCAGTTCTTAATAAATTTTTAGTAAAACATGGGACCAGAGGATATCAAAAATACTTAGATAAAAAATTTAAAATGTTTGTCACGTATTATTAATAAATCTTCATTTATTATTTAATACAGGTCATTGATGATAAAAAAAAAATAAAAATACTTCATTGATCTAAAATAGTTTAGTACAGTTAGTGGGACTCTGTCTCCTGAGCTAGTAATAACTTTGTTTCAGGAGGCAGCGACTTCTTTTAACGATTGTCTTGCGGAATTTAAAATACATGGTTACAAAATAAGATGAGAGTTATACATAAAAAGATATTTTTTTTGTTATGAGCTACTTGGTGTATTGTATGTTTGTATTCACATGAATGTGCTTGGATGCTTGAGTGTGTGGACGTATACATGCGTATTTGGGTGTATATATGTGTGTTTGTTTTTGTAAATATATGTACGTATATTTATGTCATGTTTTAACTACTTTATATTTAAGCGTAACTAAGTCGTATACATTCTTTAATTTATTGAACTATTTTTAAAAAACTTTCTGTACCATCATAGTCAAGTGATGTTAGCCATTGTGAATGATGATAGTTAATGAAATTTAATGATACATTTTAATGTAACTTTTCATTTGGCTTCTGGTTAAATAAATAAAGTTAAGAATTATTCAGCTAATTACAACACTGTTGGTAGATATGTAACCGGGAGTACGCTATATGGCCCCTGGAACTTTTGGCACATCGCCAACACCGTGAGCGTTCCAAGGCATGAAGTTACGTACATGATACCTACGAAATTACACACATAAAATACAAACCTTATTCCGATTCCAAATTTTACATTTCTACAACTTTACTATGTTAAACAAATACAGTTTACTAAATCAATGCCTTCATCGCCCGTCCGTCCAAGGGCGCGCGGATGACAGAAATTCTAATTTCTTTCGAGTTCTAACTCTACCCATATATTTTAATAACACTGTACTAATTTTAGCACCTGGGCGTCTAATGTAGTTGTGGCGCAAAGTCGGCTTTAACATGGATGAATCCAAAGGACTTAGGCGTTTTTATCAATAAATAAATTTATTCCATGATACTTCGCAGTTTTTATTATAATACCTTTTAGTAAATGTACCATTAAGTCGGTACAACCTTGCGGATAGGCTGATAAAAATGTTCAAAATTAGATTTACCTTATAATCCAAATTTCTCTATCTATACTCATATTATACTCGTAAAGAGGAAAGATTTGTATTTTTGCATGTATTGAAATAACTCAAAAATTATTGAGTCGATTTTTAAAATAATTTCAGCTCTAGAAAGGTAATCTACAGGTCTTGGGTTCGAATCCCGCCATTTACCAATGTGATTTCCGATTTATCGAATTTTTATATGTACATAATTTACCCGACGTTTTTACAGTGAAGGAAAACATCGTGATGCAACCTGCACATATCGGCGAAGAAATTCAAAGATATGTGTGAAGTCAACCAACCCGCACTTGGTCAGCGTAGTTGACTATGGCCTAGTCACCCCTTATAAGGGTAGGCTCAGAGCCCCTCTGTCGGGAGGTATAGTGAGCAGCTGGTGTAATAAAATAGATAATATAATAATCTACAGGTAAACCGATAAAATCCATTTTTAATTACTATTATTCATTCTACATATAAGGCCGTTGTAGTATAACTGCAGAGTATTGAAATTCACATCCAATTCCTAGCTAAGGTTTTAAGAGCTAGATCCATTATCTTTCATAGAAACTAGTTCTAAATTGTATAACTAACATTCGGTTATCTATTCCAACTGAGCCGATAGACTCGATCGAGGATAGTTTATTACAGGGTAGCTGAATGGAGAATTTAATCCGTCTGTGGCAGCTTGTGATGCATGTTTCATAGAAAAGCAGGCGTACACCGTTGACTAAACTGTCGCACGACTGTGCGATTGTCGATTGTTTCGCAGTTAATTAAAAATCGAGTACTTTGCTATAAGCTCATAGGAATCAAAGTGCGACTAAACAGTCGTGAGATATTTTGGTCAAAGGAGCGCGCGCGCTCTTAATATCATCGTAGATAAATTTACTTTCGAAATGTGAACGATATAATTTTTGTTAATATAATTCATACAGTTATGGGAAACATCGTAATCCAACTAGCACTTAACTGCAAAGAAAATCAAAGATGTATGTAGAGTTAACCAACTCGTACTAGGTCAGAGTGGACAACTATAGGTATAGTTATTGCTGAGTTGAAACTCTTATCCATATACGTTAAGCGATATTATTTTCCTAAAATAACCTGTTCTTAATGCTATGGTAAATATCGAGAAACATAAATAATGTATAAGGGCTAACATAATCATACTAATATTATAAATGTGAAAGTTTAGATGGATAGTTTGTAAGAGTTTGTCGCCTAAATTGCTGAACGAATCTCAATTAAATTTGGCATTGTTTTTTTATAAATACCGCGCGCGCGCACCCAGCGTACGGACGTACTTAATATCAATATTGCTCTTTACTTAGTTAAAAATGGTTCAATGCAAAAAGTGTAAATTGT